GGGGGGGGGGGGGGGGAGGAGAGGGGACAGGGGTGTCTGCCCAAAGATTTAAAGATGTAACATTAAATTGGCAGTGATTTCTGAGGCGATGCATTTAGAGATACCAACCAGGCCAGTAATACATAGACACTTTCTTCTTTGCTTTCATCATGGTGACCCACAAAGGCTCCGATCCATTCCACCAAAGGGGTAACAGGCTGTCTTTATTCACACCAATATCAAAAGAAGTGTTTGTTTTTGGATCCCACATGTAGTTTCCAATCATTTGATGAACTTCACAATGGCGACCTACGAGAGAAAGGCAGATGCTTAGATTTTTCTTCTATATTAATACTCAGAACTCACTCAAGGCCACAAAGATAAGTCAGCTGCAGAGCCAGGATTGGAGTTCAGGCGGCTTCTGTTTTCCAGCCCCACAGTAGACCTTGTTACTTCTTATAGATCCTCTCTGTCTCCATATACATAATCCATATACTGCACCACAGAGGCCAAACAAACAAACTACTGTGGCTGCAGATGCCAGATGTTTGGCTAAAGTTTAGTTTCTTCTGAACACAAGACATCTGCCAAGTCTGCGACTATTTAAGGTACCCACAGAATGAAAAGCAGAGAATACAAGAGGAGGCAGGGAAGCAGTTTGTTAACAGCAGAGCATTAAAAAATGTATAAAACAGAAAAATATAAAAGTCAAGCAAACAGAGTACAGTTTGGATAAATTATATTCTCCCTTTGTTTGGTCTGAGGTGGAGCAGCTATGAGGTTCAATTCACTCTAGTGTAATATTTAGAACATTATGGATTTCTTAATTATATTAGCAGCAAGGTCTAAAATTTGACCAGTAAAAAAGGCAAAGAAATATTAGTGACAGTCAGAAGCAAGGCAATAGGTCTGTTAGTCTCCAGTCTTGGGCTTGATTCTACCTTGCCAGACAAGCAGCTCTACAGCTTATACCTGAACTACTTTGGTAGGAAAGTACCACTCAACATACACACAGGTGGCAAAACCAGAATGTTTATATACCAAATTAAATGAAGGTTGGATCCTGCTTGGCTTAAAAGTTCTTGTAATCTATAGAGAGAGATATATTATGACAGATAAAAGTGAAGACATATGAACTGAGCAGACAGCACTACGAAAGGGATATTGGGAGCCATGCTTTTCAAGGATTCTCAAAGCTTGGATAGATGATATGTTTATACCAGTGTGATCTACAATTTTTTAAACAAGTGTAAACAAGTTGACAGATAATGAAAGCGTTAAACTGTCGCAACTGTTAGAGAATTACCTATGAAAGAATCAGAGATAAAAACTCCACTGGTATGTTACACAGGTTAAGGTTTTTGTCTGCCCATGCCCACCCTGGGTTAACCATTTGCCTAAGACAGCCATATTGGAGTAAAGTGCAGTAATAGCAGTCCTGAAGGCAGCTGCCTCCCAATAAGCTGCTTGCCTGATCTCAGTCTAATGTACAATGCCATACTAAACAGATACTAATTTCAATGGATTTGTGCTCAGCTGGTCATTCTAGTCACCCTATTGACCATATTGGAGGCATTTAAAAATAAAAATCTGGCACCAGGACTTTAACTTTGAAGAAGTGAGTTTTAGGAGGGATCTGAAGGGTACTGCTTGTCACGTAGTTAGCTGGAAGCTATTTCTAGAGTATGAATAGTTTTTGGTTCCTGGCTAGAAACTGATATGTTGTTCGTCTGTTAGCTCTCTCCTTCCATGGGGTTTATATTGCCCATTTTTAAAGGGTAGATATACTAGCTGCGTTTACATTTTCCTTGTTGTATCTTGCAAATGCTCTGCTTATGCCTAATATATTACCACAACCAGATAAAAGGAGCATACTGAAGACCATCGACCTATGCAGCTGTACAGGAACTGTAGCAGAGAGACTTAGCCGGTGGTGAAATGATGCCCTCCTGTATTTGCCAAGTGCTTGTCACATTTTCAAATGGAGGAAAGTGAGGAACTAGAGGTTTTCTGGCCAAGCAGACAGGTTCCTTGTAAATCCTGTTTGCAGCAAAAGAATCTGGGTTGGCATATTTGTTGACAGGTGTCTTTAATTTCCTTGCATCACCAGGGGATGAAATATTTTCAGATTTAGACCCCAGCTGGGATTTTAAAAAGGAAATGTTAAAGATTAAGTTGCACCAAAAGTTCATGATGATTTACACATCTTAAAAAGAAACTACTGATGTATGTGTGAGACATTTTCATCATTAGCCTGTGAGTCACAGATATTGCAAGGACCCAGATAACAGGCTCTGATTATTGTGACAATAAGTGTAGTGAGCATAACTAAAATAGCCTGATAATGCTTTTTTCTTTAAGAGACATCATTGTGTGTAGAGAACCACATTTAAATTGCGTGCATTTGACCTTCAGAAGGATTTTTTTTTTAATTCCCTTTACTGCCATGCATCGACTTAATTAATTATACAAGTAATTTTCCCTCCTCAGAGCTTCTGGTTTATTTTTAATTTCAAGATTTTTTTTTTTTAATTTTGAAGCTTCTCTTTAAAAGACATGGCTTCAGGGAACTCCAAGGCAGCTCAACACCCAAATATCATGTGGGATTCATAATTGTTGGACTGGAGTGTCTTGCCTCTGACATGACAACACACGCAAAGCTATTTAAGTGCCCGGTCCAGTGAAAGCCGTAAGTGGCAATATTTCAGTAGTCCATCATAGCTAGGTGTCACAGGGCACTGGGGTGTCCTGCTCCTTTTGAGGGCTGGAATTGCTGCAGGGAGGGCCCGGGCAGGCAGCTGACAGCCCCAGCTGCTGGTTCCCAGGGCGGCCAGAGTCTGATAGTTGGCCCACACCTGCCAGTGGCCAGCTGACCAGAAGGGGTAGGGCCTGGCATATATATAAACCCCAGGGCTGAGGCCAGGGAGGCAGTTTCCCTGCTAGCAGCCAGAGGGGAAGGAGCCTCCAGGGAGGAAGTGCCCTGTGATGCTGCCACTGCCTGATATGCTGCACCTGGGGCTAAGGGGGCTCCATGAGCTCCTCAGGCACCCTTGCCTACTATGCACTTAGTGCCAGGGACAAAATCTGATTCTGTTAAAAGGTCAGAGCACACCCTGATCTTTTTTGTATTATGTTATAGCCCAGGGGCTTATGTTTTGTTTGCTGTTTATAACACCAGTGGTTTGGGTGAGGCTATCTGGGGAAGGAGGAGGCCTCAGTGGGGGCCCACTGCAGTGAGGGCGCAGCATTTTGGGGGCGCAGAGACAGGGCCGCAGACAGCCCAGAGAGGACAAGGGGGCCAAATCACAGCAAGGCCTAGACTGGTCAATGTCAATGCCATCTGTGAGGCTTGGGGCAAGGCAAAGGGGCAGTTTGGAGCCATGCATATGGCCCATAAGGCTGGGGTGTTCTGAGACATCTATTTTGAAATGGGACCCACAAGGGGTCTGGGAACCCACGTGGTTCAGGGAAGTCCATCAGGGCTGTGTCCAACTGGACATGAAGGCAGCCTCCCTATATTACAACTACATCAAGACATGGCGGGCAAGAAAAGAGGGTGCCCATCAGGCCAAATTGGCATGGTCGAGGGGCCTTAGGGGTAACACAGCCATCCTTAGGGACCCCATCCCATGACACCTAGGATATGGGGAAACTTTTGGAGAATGCTGTGCTTTACAAGCAATCTATACCAGAGTCAAAATTGCTTAAATGTAATCAATGTTTTACAGCACCTTTCCATTCTATTCCCTCCTAAACACCCGTCCCCATTTGTCTGCTTGGTGACAACCATTCCACCTCTGCATCTGAAAGGTACATTTCTCACCAAGCACAGATGAAGCAAAATGCTTTTGGCCTCGGCTAGGAGCTGATCAACCATGTATCTATTCAAGTGGTTAATTTAACAAATAATTGGTTCACTTTCTCATTCAGGGGTGCTTATATAATTTCTGCTATCTCTTCTTGCTGGAAATACCTCTTCAACATTGTCTAGACCAGGGGTGGGCAATTATTTTGAGTGGAGGGCCGCTTACTGAGTTTTGGCAAGCCATTGAGGGCCACATAACAGGCAGCCATGGGTAGATTAAAAAATTTAGAAAATTAAATTTTGGGGCCCCACGGGCCGGATACAATGGTCCGGCGGGCCACATCAGGCCTGCAGGCCGCATTTTGCCCACTCCTGGTCTAGACACTCTCTCAGGTCTTCATTTGATCTGCAGTCTCTGGCAGGTAAGTGACCCTTTGAACAAGGCAGATGAGATGCAGATAAGACACAGAACTGTGCATAGTAATCAGCAGGGATCTGGGTTTTCTGTTTGCTGCGGAAGAATGAGGATTTTCTACTTCAAAGGAGATAACTTGGGAAACCATGGGTAGAGTCCCAGCCTGCAAGGGGCTGCTTGGGAATGGTGGGGTGGGATGCAGGGGGCACCATGTGCATGTGCACACATGCACATGGCAGCCAGGTAGTGTGGTGGAGAGCAGCTTCCGCAATGCCCTCTGTGGCGGGCCAGTAGGGGGCGCTCCTGCGTTGAGCCGCCCACCTCCCTGCGCCTGACCACCTTTCAGGCTCCGAATGCCTCCCTCGGGGTGCCTTGTGTCCGGCTGACCCACTTCCTGGAGCACACGCACTAGCCTGGGGGTAACGTAGCCGCCACCACCCCGAGAATGGACTCACTCTCGGCCCTGTGTCCTCGGGGAAACACAGGCCTAAAGTCCTACAGGTACTCGACCCAGTACAGGCACTTGGGGCACTTCCCCAAGTCAGGGGGCAAAAAGTAAAGTCCCCCTTAGTCTGCAGACCTAAGGGGTCTCTTAGGCATAATTTAGACCCACTCAATAAGTCTCCCACACCGGTCACAAAGGAGGACTTCATTGATTATGGGGGTAGGGTGAAAATAGGGTACAAGATTGAGCAATATCCTAGAAATCCTAACGAGCAAACAGTCTGGCTGTGGTAGCCTTTTGATCACGCATCTGAGTTACTGCCAGCTAGATATCTATCAGATCTCGAGTAGCTTACTCACAAGCATCTTCCAAAGGCCGGTGAAGTTTCCCTTTGGAGGCAGGCGGTTTCTAGCTCGTGAGTTTTGGGGAAGAGAGCCAGTTTCAGATGGTAAAGCTCCTCTGTGTCTCCCGCATGGCTGCTGCCCCCACCTCCTGGGCAGTTTTAACTTATATAGCCCCTGTGACCTCATTCTCCTGGTCCAGTGAAGGCCAGC